AGACTTAGTTTTCAGGATTGTACTGATGAGCATTCAGTAACTTCTTCATTTTCAGCTGTGGTCAGACTTCAAAGGTTACAGCAAGGACAGTTCAGTAGCTGAAGTCCCTACATCTCATGAATGACCTCTCCTCCTGTTCTGCCCAGTGAGAGCTACTTGTGCTCTGCTGGAAGTTCCTCGTAAAATGAATATGAAACCTATCTTCAGCAATTACCTTGAGACAACCTCTAAATATTTTATTGCAAAGTTTTATGTTAAAAAAACAACTTTCCAATTGAAAGTTGGAAACATTGGAGATTTATTTTTCTACTGGTCAGTGTGCTTTCCCAAGTCATTGACTACTGCAGTAAGGGGGAGGGAAAAGTGGCATGGAGTATCATTAGCAGTTACTTGAGTATGACGTCAAGAACTTTGTCTGCCACTGCTAATCTTGAGTAATTTATTGTTCATAAAGAATATTGAGTGTGGAGATCTCAGGCCTTCGGTTCAGAATTTTATTAGCTTGTGCTACTGTTTGAATTTATCAGTGTTGCACTGATTGCGTTGTGTGCTCCTGTTTGGACTTTATCAGAAATGTCTGGGCAATAATAACCTTTGCACATGTTCCAAAGAGGCAATCTTTATTGATTTCACTGTAATTAAAAATATTACTGTTTGTGTTTTAACCTTGATGGTGATTTTTATCGTTATCAATAGATAGAACGAAACCTCAGTCTGAACTGGAGTCATGACCACAAAGATTGAACAGGGAGTGCTTGAGTAGTCCTAGACAGAAATCAAATATGCAGTGCTGGTGAGAAACCAAGGAGGTTGTCAAGTATGCTGTGTTGAAGAGGCTCTTGAAATCACAGGATAGTATAATATAAGGATTGTATAATATAAGGAAATAGCTTCAATCCTTATAAAAAAAATAATATGCTGGGATGGCTGTCAATGGGAGAAGTTTGTTTCACCTCCCAAGTGCTGTGACCTTTTAGCATGAGGGTATTTCAGAAGGTGAAGAGCTGATTTCAGAAGGTGAAGAGCTGAAATAAAATCTTGAGTCACAGTGAGCATGACTGCCTTATTTGTTCCATGTTTTGTCTTTGTGAGTTTTCCTTTCCTCGTTCTTTAAAACTTCACTCTGATGTGTGCAACGATGTGTAAGTATGAATGTTGTAACTTGCTTTACTGTTTTAGAAGTGTATGTTTTACTGTTTTGGTTTAAAAAAAAATATGAAATGAAACAAGAAGCTACCCACGTTTTTGTTATTTACTCTCATTCTAGAATTGCTGCCAGCATCAACTGGAAAGTAAAGCCAAATCTTGCTGTAAAGCCAGCATGGCTGGCCACAGTGTGAAATGCATTTTTCTTAGCATGTCTTATATTTGGTGATGTGTATGTGTGAAATCCAGTCCTGGTGGAGTCAGCAATGCCTGCATAATAGTAACACTTGTTTTGGAGGCTTCATCAGCATATGTACATTATTAGCTTCCCTGCTTAGTAAACTCTGAGATAGGAACCACCACACTTAGAAGCAGGCACATGCCTAAGGGTGTGCCGCTGGGACACAATGCAGCCATACCAAGTTGCCAGAGCCATGTGGTATTCACCCAAGAGTGCTAAGAGAAGTGGGACAAAGTGGCTGAAATGACAGCCAGTGTGCAGTGGTTTCAACCAAGAAGCTTCTGGGGGCTGGTAGGTGTGATGATTTAAAAACCAATAAATAAAGGGTAAATGAAGAAGCATTTCCAGGAGAGAATCAGAATCATAGGCCAATCTAATGGAAATAACACTTGAGGCTAGCATGAACAGGCACTGTGATGTACTGGCGTAGTGTCAGTATGGTTCTTTGAAAAGAAAACATCTTCTGGAGCTCTGGGGAAGGATCAGCAAGCCATACCAACAGGGTGACCTGGGAGGTACAGTCTAGATTTCCAAAAAATATTTCAGTGGTTTCCTTACCTAAAGAAATCAAGCAGCCTGGAGCTAAGGGAGAAGGTCTTTACATGGGCACAAAGGAAGAATAAAAATGCAAGAAATGGAGGGTAGGGGTAGATGATTGATTTTACTGGGAGCGGCAGTTCACTGGTGGAGATATATCTGCAAGGATATCTGGGCCGCTCAGCATGTTGTAAATTACTGGGAAAAAGAGGTGAGAAGTTAAGTGGCATTGCAAATGCAGCACATTTATTCAAGATAAAAACAAGATAAGGCAAATTGTTCTCACTAGGGAGAATTGTAGGAGGATCTTATCAGACCCACTGGACTTGAAAATTGCAGATCTGGCACAGTCTTCCGACCTGGAAATTGTAGGAGGCCAGAGGAATATCCTTCTGTCTTCTCTACACCTGCATTTTTGGTTGCTGTTCTCGTTCACTGACTGACAGGAGGGATGTGAATGCATCCTAAAAACTAGTAAGACTTCCCTAGAGATGTGTGTGGAGTGGGGGGATATAAGTGGACTGGTCAAATGAGCAAAAGGAGAGAACAAAGAAAGGAGGAAGAAGGAAGAAGAAAGGTATTGAAGGATACAAAAGCTTCACAAGTTGAAAATGAAGTAGTCAGAGGGGAGGGTCATGAATAAAAAGGGGAGAAATGCAGGCAGGACCTCTGGTTCTGGAGGAGCTGGAAGAGGGGCTCCGGTGAATGGACGCTTTTTCATGTAGCAAAGAGATGGGGTAAAAAACCTGTGTTTGTAACGCTTCTTTTGAATGGGAAACAGGCAGGCTTCTGTATTTTCTTCCTTTTTTTTTTTTTTTTTTTGAGAGGCTGTGCCTAAGGGATGAGTATGCGCATAGACATATGTGCATGTCTTAAGGAGGATAGGCAGAAGGGCGGCCAGGGAGCAGGGTTGTGCAAAAGTGTGTTTCACACTGCACAAACACCGTGGCTCTACTGAGCAGGTCACACAGAGCCCATCCTGAAGTCCTGCCAGTGTGGTCAGAGTTCTTATCTGCAGGTAAGCCCCCCCCCCCCCTCCCCTTCCCCCCAGGTTAAACATTTTTCAGTTGCTTCAGGCTTTGGCTTGGAGCAGAGGAAACACCTCCTGTCCAGGCCAATCAAGATGTGCCTCATCTGTGGGTGGACTTCACTGGCAGCTGGTGAGCAGGAGTGCTGCCAAATGTCACCTTTTGTCTCACGAAACCGAAATGAGTATTTACACGTGCTAGAGCCAGCGACCTGGGCTTCCCAGGGCCACTTGGAGATGGCTCCAAAAAGCCATCATCCTTCTCTGCAGCACAGGGCAGATGTTCATCTTGGCTGATGCTTCCTCGTGCTGCAAGCCAGCTCTTACCTGTCCTTCGGTTGAACAACGTGGAACATCTTGTCTAACAAACTGCCTTTTTGTTAGCCTGTGTTAGTAGGTTCGAATCATCGCCTTAACTTGCTGGCCTTTGACCTAAGGGAGTGGAATCCTTTTGGTGAGCAAGTATTCCCAAGAATCATCAAGAGCAGTAATAAATGGCACTTAGTAAATTGTGGAGGGAAATTTTTTTTGCCTTCCGACAGGTGATGTGCTAGCCACCTGTAAACTGAGATACCTTCCAAGGAATTGAACTGTATTACAGGGAAAAACAATTGGCAGCATGTTGTTAAAGCATGATTCTTGTTTTAGCACGATATGCATTGGTGGTCATCGAGACAGGCAAGAAAAACTCTCTTTCAAGTCCTGTGCCAGTGTTGGTGCACCAGGGAGAAAAGCAGCTTGCGTGTTAAGGCACTAATTTGTTTGCCATGCAGGCAATCAGTAGGTTGTGGTTACGTCAGAGGGAAGTGGGGGTTTACTGTAATTAATCTGCGGATAAGTTTGTGCTTAGGTGTAATTTTCAGCTTGAAACTGAATTGTCACTTACCCTTTATGACAGCAATCGGGAAAGCTTTTACTCCTCAAATCTAGCAAAATTAATTCTAAAACCCTTGAAACTTTCCAGGTCTGAAATGATGATAATCCATGGGCTTCTCTTCACCACACCTAGGACTGATTTAGGAAGAAGCTTATTAAAAAGACTTTTAAAAAAATTGTAATCACTTTAAGTATTTAGAACAGTTAAAGAAAAATACCGTGTTTCAATAATAAATCATTTGTCTTTGTGGATGAGCTGTCTTCATAGTTCATTATGTTTTGTCATTTGGTTACTTTTTACATCTCGTTTGCCAGGGAATAACAAAAAAAAACCAACCCTACTGACTAATTATTCCTATTAAACGCACCTCAGCATCCTAGGAAAAGATGTCAGATTTTAGTCAGGGGCTTGTATTAAAGCAAATCTTTTAAACTTGTGCTTATTTGGTTAAAATAAAGTAAAATCTCAGGCAGTTTTTGCAAGCAGCCTGTGATGGAAGAATGGTTACACGTGTTCACAATGGACCTGTGCTAAGGAAATTTTGAGTAACGGGATGTCTTCGAGCCTTTCTGTGTGCTGACAGTGGACAGACACTCCAGTCACATCAGATGAAGGGTTAGGTTTGTTTTGCATGTTAACAAAGCCTTCCAGATTCACTGCCCTTCTCTAAAATCCCTGGTGGGAAGAGGCAGTGCTATTGAAAAACGTATTTCATCACAAACCAGTCTATCAGCTGTATTGTGCTCAAAGGATCTTTCCACACCCAAGAAGAGCACAAGTAACTGGTTTCACACAGGAACTCCAAGCAATATCCTGAGTGTATGAGTGCACACCATTAATCTGGCTTTTGCTTTTGTTTCCCATATTTCTGTTACACTCTAACTATATCCTAATTGCATTTATTGCAAATTCCTACATTCTGTGTAAGATCCAATAGCTTAATGTGGGTCAAAACATAGGTTAGAGAGCTCAGATACATTTATTTAAAAAAAAAAAAAAAAGCCTGTAGTGTACTGAAATTCTCGAACAGGTTCTTATCGTGCATTGGAGTAAAACAAGTTCAAAGTCTGCTTCTCTAAGCCTTTGCTGCTGACAGCTGTGGTGTTGGTATATTTGTTTTGAAGCACAGGCTCTTGCTGATCCTTTGCTCTTTTTGTTTTTTCTCTTATTAGTTCAAAACCCATTTCTTCACCTTTGATTGTACAAGTTGGGCATGCAGAGACCCTTCAACCACTGCTTGCTCTTATGGGTTTCTTCAAAGATGACGAGCCTCTCAGGGCAAACAATTACATCAGGCAAGCACACCGGAAATTTCGCACTGGCCGGATTGTGCCTTATGCAGCCAACCTGGTGTTTGTGCTTTACCACTGTGATCAAGTGAAAACCTCTAAAGAGGAGTATCAAGTGCAGATGTTGTTGAATGAAAAGCTGATGCCGTTTCATCACTCAAATGAAACCATCTCTACTTATGCAGACTTCAAGGACTATTACAAGGACATCCTTCAAAACTGTCACTTCAAAGAAGTGTGTGAGTTGCCAAAGGTTAATATTACTGCCATTGACGAACTTTGAGGGAATGAAATGGAGTGGATGTTTTGGAAATCGCTCTCAGTTCTCTTCAACAGAGGTTGTGAACAAGCACTTTTTATGATTTGCTGCTGCTGTGTGGACTTTCTAAACTTGCAGATTTGATAGCCGTTACTTCCCTGGGTTGTCTTGGTCAGCTGAATGCACTGTTTGTTTATTACATAAGCAAAAGTACAAAAGCAAATTCTGTAACAGGAATGTCACTGAGTATTTGTAACAAATGTGATGCAAGATGAAGCGTACCTGTATGTTTATGTGTACAAATAAGTAATTTCCTAGGTCATTCCTCTTATGAATGTGCTGTAGATAGATTTAAGAGCTGAGACAATTTTTTATTTTGTCAGAGCTGAAAGTGCTTGAACTGATTCAGTATTGCTTTGCATTGCCTTGTTTCTTAGCTATTGTTCTCCTATGTCAGGCATGAAGTACTCCAAATCTGTGAGCTTTTTTGTTCCTTTTCCTGAGCCTCTAGGAGGGAGAGGGAACAAACTCCTTCTCCACAGCCGACCAACTTCTCCCTGGACAGCACCACGTGAACATCTCACCTGGGGACTGAAAGCATGAAGACTTGCTGTGTTTCTGTGTGCATTATCTGCCTGAAAAAGGCGAACGATTTACAGTTCTTAAAGTCCTCATCGACCCATCCAGCATAGCAAGTTAGCCAGCAGGGTAAGTAAGTTCTCAACAAGAAGGAGCTGGGGAAGAGAGAGGGAGTGGGAAATAGCCACTTTTCCTTTGAAGTGCTCTGGGGTATGCAGCAGTTGTTCTCTCAGCTGTTTGCTGTTTCCTTTTACTTGACACCATCAATTCCTTGTGTTAAATGTTTGGGCTGGGGCATTCAGGGTAGGCTCTGTTAGGGGGTTGAACATCTCGGTCCTCCTCAGATACTGACAGTTTTCTTAGAGCCTCTGGTTGGAAGGGACCTCTGGAGGTCTCCAGTCCATCCTGCTTGAAACAGGATTATTGCTAACCCCAAATCTGGGCAAGCTTCTGACTTTGAAAAGTATCTGTCTGAAACTTGACTTCTGCTAGCAGGAAAGCACTGAACCTGGTATCACTTACGTAGGCCTTCTATATTTGATATGCCAGCTTGTTCTTGAAATAAAACTGGTTTTAAAGAAATTAATTGCATAAAGATACCGGTGATCTCTGAGAGTGTCTACACTTAAAGCAGGCTTACTTGCTGCTGAAAATTTGAGAGTATTTTAGAGTACTACAGTACAGCAGAAAAAGGAATGATGAAGATAATTGTCTAGAAATGCCTGAAATAAAAAACGCAAGTCAAGTTAAAATCCCTTCATTGTCCCTAAGGGAACAGCTAGGTGAACAAGCTGTCCCAAAACAAATGAGGGTGTGGTTTTATGGTGCTGGCAGCTCCTGAAATGAGCACTTGCACCCTATAACGAGTGCTCCAGAGCTCAGTCCGTAAAGTGAGGGGTAGTTTGCTTTGTTCACTGGGAAGGGGGGTAAAGGGGTGGTATAAGCAGTTACAACAGGGTATTGTATGCAATATAAACATTTATACCCTCATTTACTTCAGGGTAGCCTCACCTGCAGAACTGAAAACTTAACTGCTGAAAAAAAGAAAAGAGAGAGAGAGAGAGGTTTCTGTTCAGTGTGACACAGAAACCTGTTTCATTAGTGCACTGACTTCTATGGAGACCGTGGTTCTGCTCACTGAATATACTCACAAAAAATGGTGAATACTTTAGCATAAATAAATGGTAAAATACTCGTGTATTTTAGCTCTGTGGATCTGTTTCTGAAATAGGTGAATGGCTAGGGAGGAAATCAGTACTTAAACACACGTAGGAATATAGGTCAGGATACTTGTCAGCAGCAGCATAAAAGTTTTATTGCTGTTTTATATCAGCTTTCTGTGTCTCCTTTTTAGCATGATCCTGCTCTGAGACTGAGTCAATTGATCATAAGAGGCATCTGCCACAGTAATTTTAAACTTTATTGTGAGACAATGTTTGAGGCAAGTGACAAAGAATAAACCTTGTTTAAAGGCAATAAAGTTTGGTAAATAGCAGATGCAAGATTGAGAAAATTCACCTTTGAACAATTTTTTGTGGGTGAGTCATCCTATTCTGTGATGAGTCATGATAAGAACAGAAGGGATGAAAGCCTGACTGCTGGAGATGAATGGAAGATTTACCTTTGTCTGTTTCGTGTTGGATTGATTTTACCCATCGTATTTGTTAAAAGATAAGGCTGCCTTCTTTGCAGAGGAAGAACACATTACCCTCTTTTTTTTTTTTATCATGTGCCAGACAAGGTGGAAGAACCAAATAATCCCTTCTGTAGTGAAACATCGTTTGCTTCCACATTAAAGTTGATAGTATGATAAATAAATATTGGGCAAAGGGACTTCATGGATGGCTCATCAGAGGCTGTTCCCTATTTTGCCTAGGAGTACAGGTCCACTGTATCTCTTACTGATGATGTATCTTCAGTGGCTATCACCAATTAATTGAGGAGAAATGTGCCATTTGGTTTGTACGGGTTTGTATTTACAGGCTGCACTGACTCACTCAGCTGGCATAACTAGAGGCTGGATGTGGAAACTTGGCACAATCGTAGCAACAGGAGTGTTTGGACCTGTGTATATGTGCTAGGCACTTGTCCATGTGACTAATTCTCACTTCTAGGGATGTTCTCACTTCAGGATGACCCTGTTATTAAAGAAAAGAAAAAAAAAAAAAAAAGCAAAACACACAGAGTATAACAACCAAAAATACGTGTGTATTTCCTCCTAAAAAGGAAAACTAAAACAGATCAACATATTTCCCTAAAGTTGGCACTAGCTCAGTGAGCAGGGTGTGGAGAGGCTACCACATCTAATGGCACTGCAAGTGACCACATCCTGAAAAAGCCCTGCATGGAAAGTGATGCTTTCTCTTCCCACATGCATCTCTGACAGAACACCTCATCTCAGTCCTCCAGTGAAGACTCTGTTTGTAACTTTACTCAAACTGGAACCTTTCATGTATGAAAAATACTGACAGTGTTCTTGGACACTGGCATTGAATACATTTGAAATATATTTAATTTTGCTATATGTCTAAAGCTTTACTAATGTTTCTGGCAAACTCATTTTTCCTTCTTTTTAAGTACTGTTAGTGTAATTCTGGTAAGCATGGAGCTGCCTAATCGCTGTACGTGACATGAATTTGTGATCATGTGGGACTAACTGGATGCATTTTGAGAACTCGGTTTGGATCTTTAGTGATGTGAAATAAAGCTGCACACTTTCTTCATCTGTTTTATCAGCAATAATAATAACGCGATCTGTATCATCATGGCTGTGTTCTGCTTCAAATACATTTGGTAAGTCGCTATTACTTGCACTGGTGTCTCCGGTTATTTTGAATCTTCACATTGTTGAGTGATTACTATTAAAATATCTTAATTGGTGTTTTACTTCCTCATTTTGAGGTGAGTTAAAACTAACTCTCATTTCCTGGAGTCCTGATTAAAAAAAAAAAAGTGATAGCTTCCTGACAAGCTTTTCATATATATTACTGTACCGTGCAAAATGTGTAGAAATGTCGTGTGTTTTGAAGTACAGTGAACATTACACACATTTTTGTGCTGTCCAGAATCTGCTGCAGTACTATTTTGCTAGACATTATGACCCACTCGATAAGAAATCGAAGCTGTTGATTTGATAAAGAATTGCAAACATACATGATGCGGTACTTTCTAGCCTGTCCTTTCTTGTGGGTATTTAGCAACAGATCCTTATTATTGAGTATCCATTAGTTACTTAATTTGTTAATTCTCTGATTAGCTGTACATGAAAATGAAGCTTTGCCTGCAGTGCTCATGTACTGAGGATGCAACACTTTCATAAATGTGCTGTGACTGGACTGGCATAATCTTTGACCAAGGACTCTTTCTTCATTTCTCAGAAGTATTAGTCTGTAAGACAGTTTGAAATAGAAAACAATTGATGCTGTTTTGTTTAAAATACCTGTATAGTCATAGGAACAGATATAAAGTGACTCTAACCATGTCTGACTTGCTTTTCAGAAAAGAAAATCAGAAACACCCCCCTACAGACTTTTTTTTTTTTTAAAAAAAAAAAGAAAAGATTTATTATGCATTAAACATTCATTTTGTTAATTGCCTAACTTTTCAAAGAGTTAGTATAATCTACTGCTAGTTTGTAGTTCCTGATATGACAGAAAGAATAGTTTTCCTGCCAGTTGTTGAATACTTGCTTTCTTGGGCTTGAAGTTACAGGTTATGCCTCCTGATACTCAGTCTTGAAATGGGACCAGCCTGACCCTAGTGGACTGGAGTGAGGGTCTCTCTTTTCTTCTTGCCTCAGCAAAGGGTAGTCAGGTGTGGACAAAAAAAAAGGAACTATATACAAATGCAAACAGTGTGTACTGGTAAAGCGTATGGTGACAGTAATTGTCCAGTGAGAGATCATAACTTCATGATTTTAGGGAGATTTTTTTTCCTCCCACCCTTCTTCCTCCTGTGAATTTGTCATATTGAGGCCAGCCAAGCTTTTGTTACCTGTGTCACCATGTGCTGGTGAGGCCATGCTTTTCTTGCATGTTGTAGAAGTGGGTTTCACTGTAAAAGTCCTGTCTGGTTTTTATGTTCCTTTGACAAATGGGAACTGGAACCCCTTTGTACCGCAGCAAGAAAAAAAGGGAGATGTGGTCCCCCCATGCACCGGTAGCACACATGTTCTGCCTGACTTTGTGGTCTAGTAAGCAGAAAACTTGATTTCTGATTTGTGTATATTCTGATAGTTTTTGAAGAGGCGTTTTCATGGTCTGGAATACCTGCCAGGTCAGAGCTGCGTTCTGCTTCCAGATCTGATAGCAGCGGATGTTTGTAAAAGCGTATGGCTTCCCCCCCTCCTCTTCCCTCTTGTTTGCTTCCGTAACTGGAAAAGGAAGATTTGTACAGAGATTAGCTTGCATTTAGGGTTTTTTTCAAGTTAGTTCAGTAAGGAGATTTGTACTGGGAGACAGAGGAAAAAAGGAGGTTTGAGCTGATGGCATGTGGTCTTTACAGTGGGGGATTTTTTTCTTAACAAAGTTCTTTTCAGAAAGGGTTTGCAGCAAGTGTTATTTTTCTGAGGTACTGCTGAACAGTTTGTGTGCAGCTCTTACTATATGGCTATTTAATAAAATCAAGTAATTGGTCTTCAAGCAAGGGATTATTATTGAAGGGCTAGGATTTTTTGCATTAGCTTTTTTATAGCTTTTAATTAATTTTTCTTCTACAAAGTTCTGTTGCTTTCTGAACCCAAAGTCTTAGATGGCCTTGCAATGGGAAGTGTTGGGTGCTGTGGCTTTGTGAAGGGCCAGCTCCTATCATTGCATTTGAACCTGGCACTTGCTAAACTGGAAATTCAGTCTGCAGCAACCTTGATTGAAAAAGGTAACAGCTCAGAAGACATGCTCAATTAACAAAGTTAACGACGTTAATTGAGTATGTCAGAAATTATGCAACCATCAGTGCTTGGCATGTATTCTTGCAGTTGTTAAATTGTTCTGTGTGATACAGATCTTGTTTCAGTATTGTGTTGTCCTGAATACCAGCAGTTCATCAGAGTCCTTGGAGCATCTGTATTGGGAAAGAAGTTAAATGCGTGATCTCTTCGTATTCCGCCCATGGACTACAGGCTATTGTAGCCTACTTCAGACTTCTGCTTTTACAGTGCAGAGGCCCATCATGCTTAGTTGGTCCTTGTGCTGAAATCATTCTGTTCTTCTCATCATTTTCATTGCTATTTGTACTTCCGACTTCTTTTTATACTGTGCCTTCATAAGCTTACTGTACCAGACTTGCTGTCAGCATTCAAGGTGAAGGTACACCGTGGACTTCAAGAGGAGCAAACTAATGATTCCTGTTAGCTTTCTAGGCTTCCCCCTGCCAAAAGTGCTTTGTTTCTTTCAGCAGTGGGTCAGTGTGTGTGGAGATCTTGCCTGTTACTTCCATGTCACTCCTGGGTTGTGACGGTCAGCTCAGAGTGTTTCATGGTGGTTTCCACCACCTGCCATACTTCAGTCGTCTGTTCCCAGGAACAAATCAAGTCTCATTCTAAGTTTCAATACTTCCTTGCTATGTCTTTTTAGGTGCTTTTTCAGTTTCTTCTCTTCTGGAATGACTTTGAATCATCAATAAGTTTTGCCCAGTTGTGCCTTTTCTAAGCTGTGTATGGACCCAGAAGGCCCAGCAGGGATCATACAATGGTTTGGGTTGGAAGAGACCTTCAAGCCCATCTCCTTCCAATTCCCAGCCATAGGCATAGGTTACACTTAGCACCAGCTCAGGCTGCCCCCAGCCCCATCTTCTCCACGCTGAACAACCCCCAGCTCTTTCAGCCTGTCTTTGTAGGAGAGGTGCTTCAGCTCCTTGATTATCTTTGTGGTCCTCCTCTGGATTTGTTCTAGTATTTCCATGTCCTTCTTTGGGGCCCCAGGGCTGGGTGCAGGGCCCCGGGTGGGGTCTCATGAGAGCAAAGCACAGGGGGACAATGCTGTAACCCTGCTGTAGAAAGCCACCAGATTTGTTGGGCACTATTTGCCTGTAGTGAAGCCATGCTTAGCTGTCACCAGTCACCTCCTTATTTTCCATGAGCAGAGTTTCCAGGAGGATCTGCTCCATGATCTTGCCAGGCACAGAGATGAGATTGACTGGCCTGTAGTTCCCAGAAAAGAATCACTTAGATTGAAAAAGACCTCCAAGATCATCAAGTCCAACCATGAAATCCTGCAAATCAGATCCTGCAGGACTACAGTTCACAAACCAACCGCTTCGGCCCTCTGCTTGCTCCCTCTTAACTCATCATTCAGCCTCACCAGGACCTTCTATCCCAACATGTAGATACTCAGTTTCCCTGGCAGACTTTAGTAAGGAACTTGTTGAAAGCCTTTGGAAAGCCAGTAGTCCATACTGGCTGGATCCACATGCCTGTTGACTTTTTCTCAGTCTATAGCTTTAAATAAACAAGACAAGCTTCTCTCAAAGTAACCTGATGGAAGGAAAGCAAATTCTTCCTGACTCATTTGAGAAATTGGCATGATGCTGGGGGTCTGAGCAGATCATGGCAGTCACATCCATGCATGAAGAGGGAAAAGGCCTTACACTGGGGTAGGACAGATGAGGACTGATACCTCCAGTGCCTTTTGGTAGGAGTGAGTCCCTCTGTGTGATGGCCATTCACTAGCAATCAAGCCCAAATGGCAAGGAACAGCCCAGGTTTTAAAGGGTTTAATGACATTAACCCAGGGAATACCTGTGCTTGGCTTTAACCAACCGGAAGAGCTGAACTGATTTTTTTTCCCACCTTTGAAAGTGTCAAAAGTATTTCCTACTGGGTTAGTCCTAACAGTGTTTAAAAGTATTGTCAATCAGTGTTCTGTGGTTGTTTCTCAAAGAAAACAGTATCCTCTGTATAATGTATTCCTTCCTGCTATTGGAGGCAATTTACTGCTCACTCTTTGGCTATGTAAAAATACCTGTAAAAATGAAGAAGTTTCATATTTAACATTTGTGAAGTTTCATTAACCTGTATTTTTAGTCATGATATTTTTTTTTCATGAATAATTGGTTTATTAGAGTAAATTTATGAGAGGTGAATGGCAGAGGGAATATTCTGAAACAATCAGTTGCATGGCTTCAAAGCACATGATGATAGGAAAATAAGGCAGAAAGGCGTTTTAAGAGGTCCTCTTCTCCATCCCCCTGCCCTCTTGAATTGCATCTTCTACCTTGTTGACAGTTTCTCCAGGGCGTTTGATACTCTCATCGACTCCTCAGCACATCTGTTAAGCAGTGCCAGCTGCCAATGCAGTAAGCGCTTCCCATGTGTCTGAGGAAGGGATTGAGCAGTACTAGACTCAGATCTGACCCTGGTAGGGCTCTGTTGGATACCTGTTTCCAGTCAGAGAGTGAACTACCCTCTAAGTCTGCTTTTCCAACAAGTTCTGTATCTATGGTTTCTTTGCCTTGGTGTAGGCATCACTCACCATGCTTTCTGAGAGCATCACAGGGCTTTTCTAGCCTTTGTCATATTGCATCCACAGGTTTCATCTCTGCTGTACAGTTTATTTGCACTGTGGTTTGTGTTGGGCAGTATCTGCAAGCTGTTACTCATCTGAGTGTTGGCTCCATCATGCTTACCAAGAGTTTAATCGATTGTTCTGATATTTTTCTGGCAATTTAAAGTCCAGCAGCCGTATCTATAATCCATGTCTCCTCTAATGCTAGATACCTTTGGCCGAAGCACAGATAAATGACTGGTTCTTAATCCTCTCCAACCAGTCAGCTGTGCTCTTTTATTGTACTGCTTTTAATTAGGTGTGGTTTAT